CTGCCACCACATTCGAGCGATTACGCACCATCGATGCTCATCAAGGCTTCGTCAAAGGGGTCGTCTTTGACCCTCTCGGTCAATACCTGGCAACGGCTTCCGATGACAAGACCGTCAAGGTTTGGCGCACCTCCGACTGGAGCCTCGAGCGATCTGTCACCCACCCTTTCCTCACCAGCCCTTCGACCGCCTTCTTTCGCCGCCCGAGTTGGTCCCCCGATGGTAGCTTGCTCCTCTGTGCCAACGCTATGAGCGGTCCCGTCTTCGTTGCCAGCGTCGTCAAGCGATCCAACTGGACAAGCGACATCTACTTTGTCGGTCACGAGAATGCCGTCGTTGTCACTGCCTTCAGTCCCAAGATCTTTGTCGGCTTTGATGGAGGTACACACTCTTGCGTGGTCGCGTTAGGCTCGCTTGACCAGTCCGTGTCCATCTGGGTCACTGGCCTTGAGCAGCCGGTCTTGGTCGCCAGGGACGTCTTCCAGCGACAGGTCATGGATCTTTCCTGGTCAGCTGATGGCTACACGCTCTATGCCTGTTCATCGGACGGCACCGTCGCCGTCTTCAACCTTACACCTGACATCATCTCGGAAGCCTTGAGCGGCAAGAGACTTGAACAATCGCGAGCAAAGCACGGTGTCAAGAGGATTCGAAATGTCGCAACCTCTTCCAATGGCGCCCTCATGGCCGGAACTTCAGATCGTCCCAATGTTCTTCGACCACGCAAAGCTGGACAGACTCTGCCACCACGTTCCTCAGTGGCACCCGTGCCCCTTGCTGGTAGCGTGCCCCCTGTTCGACCCGCAGCATCCAAAAACGAGCGATTGCAGCAAACCATCACCATCACCAAAGACGGCAAACGTCGCATTCGACCCACCCTCATCGGCGACGACCTCGCACCCGCACCCGCACCTGTCCCTCACTACGCCTCCGAGCCGGCAACTAAGCAGCACCCTTCTATGCAGACCTTCCAGTCCCATCAGCTACCAGCCATGCGTGAAGCTGTTGGCGGTACCACTACCGACGGATTCGGTTCTGGTCGCAGTGCGAACGGCGTGCACGCGAGCAGCACCAATGGAAGCTTTTATGGCGCTACAACATCAAACGCGCCCGTCTCGATGCCTGTCATGGCGATGCCGTCTGCCGCTGCCACTTCATTGATGCCCTACGTGCCTGTAGGTCTACCTTTCGGCATCATGCCCGAAGGTGCCAGCCCCGAAGACATGATGCAATTCTGGACCGAGTTCCAACAACGCTTCATGCGGGGCAAGAAGCGCAAGGTGGAAGAAGTCGAGACCGACTCGGAAGATATCGAGCCCATCGGCAAGCTTCAGAAGGGCAAGACGAGGGCGGACGTTGGACGAACACTGGGAGGTGAGACTCCACGTGATCCGCCAGGTCCGAAGAAGGTGCTGCGAGAGGCTTTGGTGGGTGCAAGTGGAATCGTCGAGAATGGTGTTCGCAAAGGCGTGCACCTGGTTGTTCCCGAGACTTCGAGCATCTATCGCCGGGATGAGGATAACATGTCGATAGAGATCCGCAACTTTGATGAATCACGACCGACCGAGATCGCGCGACTCGACCCTTCCGACAAGGACCGCGCGCTCTGGCTCGACTTTAGCCCAACAGCTGCCACGCTAGCCACAGCCGCATCCTTCTTCTCTGCCGTAGCTTTGGAGGATTCAACAATACTCATCTACTCGGCGCGAGGTCGAAGGATTGGCAATCTGCTGTTGGACTCGGCTTGCTACCGATTGGAAAGCAATGGCGTCGTGCTTATGGCAGTCACTGTCTCCGGTCTCATGTACAGATGGAACATTCGTACCGATCGTGAGATTCATCGACCGATCTCGGTGCTCAACCTGCTTGGTGAGCCTGAGAATCTCTTGTCAATGACGATACACAGCAACGGAGCGCCCATTGTGATCCTGCACAGCGAAAAGGCGTACACGCTCGACGACAATAAGATTGGTTGGGTCTGCATCAGCGACAGCTGGTGGGCAGAACACTCAGAAGCATGGGATGGACGCACACGCAGTCGCGGTAGCGAGGCAGCCATTCGTGATCCTGTGCGAGCGATCGAAGCCGAGATCAACACGATGTATGTCCGTCGTGTGCACGGAGATAATCAGATGGGAACACAGGAGGAGTCGGACGACGAAGAAAGTCCTTCAGTCGAGATGACGGTACCCGAAGACAAGAAATCGGACTTTGTCATTGCGATCACGCTGAGACACCTAGAAGCACGAATGCTAGCTGCCATTATCCTCGATAGTGCCAACGAGTACAAGAACTACTTGATGGCTTATGCCAAACGCATCGCAGAAGAAGGCATCAAAAACCAGGCTGAAGATCTGATCAAGTCATTGATTGGTCCCATCTACTACAAACCAGAAAAGGATCAGGATTCGTCCTGGGAACCGACTGTGCTCGGCTTCGATAAGCGTCAACTCTGCAGTCAGGTCCTGCAGATTCTGGCAAGACCTCGCAATTTGACCGCGCTGATACAGCCGTATCAGGAGATCCTTGCCAACATGAAGGCGTAACCATCGCAAAGCACAGTATGCCCTTCCAGCCCTCAAGACAGCGCAAGCATCGCGTCCCCTCCTTTACGCTCGATCATTGCTGGTTCATCTGTGTCACGTCTGCAATTGTACTTGTATCGTCATCCAGTCTCGAACAGGTGTGTGCAGTTTCCGCGATCAAAATGAGGCTCAATATCCGGACCGTGAAGCCGCTGGAAAAAAAAATCAACAAATCAAATCAAAAAATCAAAAATCAAAAATCTTAAGCTGTTATATCGCGACCAAGTAGCAAAAAATCCGTAAGGCGAAAAGTGACTCGACGCACCAATTGGAAGAAATGCAACCTTAAAATCAATGCTCGAGACTGGCCTGCTGCCTTGGCCATGAATTAGATTCCTCGGCACGACCTGATCTGATTAGAGCTTCGCTTCGCCAGTTCGATCATCAACTCTCTACTCACCATCCCATCCTCTCCCTGCAATCTGGTATTGCGCACCCAACCGCAATGTCATCATCTTCATCACCACAAAAGCTCAAAGTTGGCGTACTCGGCGCCACAGGTACCGTCGGACAGCGATTCATCCTCCAGCTTGCCGATCACCCTCAATTCGAACTTGCTGCTCTCGGCGCCTCTTCATCATCAGCAGGCAAGACATACATCAAAGCCGTCGAAGGAAGATGGAAGCAAATCTGCCGAGTCCCCGACAACGTTGCGCAGATGACAGTCTACGAATGCCAGCCTCAACACTTTGCTGAATGCCAGGTCGTCTTCTCTGGCTTGGACTCTGGACCTGCTGGACCCGTCGAAGATGCCTTCCGCAAGGCCGAGTTGAGAGTCTTTTCCAACGCCAAGAACTACCGCATCGACCCACTCTGTCCACTGGTAGTGCCATTGGTCAACCCGGACCATATGGAGATCCTGCCGTACCAGAAACAGCAAGTCGGCACCAAGACGGGCTTTATCGTCACCAACGCCAACTGTTCCACCACTGGTGTTGTCGTGCCATTGAAAGCGCTGGAGGAGAAGTTCGGCCCCTTGGAGAGGGTACTGGTCAACACAATGCAGGCTATCTCGGGGGCAGGCTACCCCGGTGTTTCCTCTCTCGATATTCTGGACAACATTGTTCCCTTTATCAGCGGCGAGGAGGAGAAGATCGAGTGGGAAACAGCCAAGATCTTGGGTGGTATCAAGTTGGACAAGACGGCTTTCGAGTACCATGAGCAAAACCCTTTGAAGGTATCCGCTCACTGCAACCGAGTTCCCGTCATTGATGGACACATGGAATGCGTATCAGTCTCGTTCAAGAAGCGTCCCGCACCATCGGTAGAAGAAGTCAAGAAGTGCTTTGAAGAGTTCACCACAGAAGCACAAAAGATTGGCGTTCACTCAGCACCTGCTCAAGCCATCACATTGCATCAGGAGCAGGACCGTCCACAACCTCGTCTAGATCGCGACTGGCAGAATGGCGCTGGTGTCAATGTCGGTAGGGTCCGCCAATGCCCCGTCTTAGATATCAAATTCGTTGTTCTCTCCAACAACGTCATGATCGGTGCCGCTACCAGCTCCGTCATGAACGCCGAGATTGCTCTTGCCAAGGGCTACCTTTTTTGATCTGTACTGTTTTCGCTCGTAATGCACACACACTTCTTTCGAGAAAGACTGCGAATCAATGCAATTACCAAACGAAACTACGAAACATTGCGATTGACGACTGGAACTACCAGTTATGCTTAAGCGCGGTCTTTACGCTTACCAGGGACAGGCGAACGGAGCCTGTCCTCGAAGAAATCCTCCAGCTGCTACTTGGCCGCATCTTGCTCGAGCATACCAAGGTACTTTGAGAGGTTCTGGGGGAGGTTCAGCTTCGCTCCAGGACCGTATTGAGAGAGAACGGCGAGATCGTAGAGCTCGAGCGCGCTGTCAAGATTCTCGAAGATTGTCTGTGCCCTTCGATTCTTGCCCTCGACTGACACTTCAACTCTCCAGCGTTTCTGGTACCATCGCACGCCCATGGGACCACCCTGCCTGTCCCAGTTCTGACCATTATCAGCTCGAGTTGTATTGCGACAATAAAGCTGAATCAGCCTCTACAAAGTCTCTGAGGCCTCTACGAACGATTTCAGGCGCATATAGCCATATTTTCTAGCCATCGGCTTCTTCCGATGAGGCACACACTTGGACACGGGACAGCCAAATACTTTTCTCACGGGGGATTTGGGTACTTTCGGCCTAGCCGCCAACAGTCGGCTGGCGCCTGTATCACGTCTCTCACTCACGCTCGGAACATCCGCTGAGCTGGGTCGTAGTCAGTCAATGAGGGTGAAAAGCTGAGTCAAGAAATGTGATCTCTCGAAAGAAGAGGTCGTTGTGTGAATTCGGATGTGGCTTTTGACGATGCGTTTCTTTTCCAAGTGTTTCGTGCCCTGGCGTCAATAGGTATTATTACAGCTGAAGCAATGACAGCAATTAATAGAAGCTCGATAGTCTAGTGGTAGGGCGTTGGGCTCATATTCAACAATTAGAAGCAACCCAAAGGTCGTCGGATCGAGACCGACTCGAGCTATTTTTTGACCCTTCAAGGGTTGATTTTTTGTAGTGTAGTGACGTCTCGACGCGTCTTGCTGTTGTGATTGGTGGAGCGGAAAAGTCGAAATCTGGATTTTGAGAGGAAATGTGTGTGACGAAGAATCGCAGTGGGCGCGTGCTTGTGTCCATTAAATTCAGGGTTGGAGACGATCATCTCTTGCCCTTCCGAATCGCATCGGCTGCACCCTGCACCTTTGCATTACACCTCATCGCCATCTTCTCCAAGCAAGGCTCAACTCTGTACGACAACATGTCATCTAGACCTTCCGCAAAAGTGCTTTCCGAGTCACCACGATCTTCTCCTCCTTCCATCAGAAACGCAAGTTCACCTCCACCGACCACGCACAAGACATTGACGCGCCAACGATCATCTTCGCTTCAAAAGGGTGCTGCCGTGCTCAGGGCTCTATCACGAGCCGAGTCCGACTTCGATCGTGAGATGCTCGAGACGAGTGGGGTTTTGCAAACAGATCCAGCCAGCATCACAGCACCTGTTCAGGACGGTGCTGCCAACGATACCGACATGACTGCCAAAACGATAGATGGCAACGGCAATGCTTCTACTCTACGATCACGTCGACCAAAAGCCGGCAAGCGCGTTTCTAGTGGAACCCTATCCAAACGACGATCACATGGCTCTGTAGTACCAGCCAGCAAGAAGAGTTGGGAGATTCCGCGCAAGATCTTCCACAGCTCGATCGGATTCATGGTTCTACACCTCTACCTTTCCGGCACAGACCTCAACGTTATTGTTCGCAATCTCTCCTACTTCCTCGGCGTCGTCGTCACAGCAGATGTCATCCGCCTCAATAACGACCACTTTGAACAGATCTACGAAAAGGTGCTGGGCTTCCTCATGCGCGAGTCGGAGAAGGACAAGGTCAATGGAGTGGTGTGGTATTTGGTCGGTGTCATCTCCTCGCTCCACTTCTTCCCAGAGGATATCGCATGCGTGTCTGTCATGATCCTGTCATGGTGCGACACTTGTGCTTCAACATTCGGCAGAGCGTTCGGACGATGCACACCGCCTCTGCCCTCACCGCCTTTCGCTCGCCGCAAGTCTACAGCTGGCTTCCTTGCTGCCATCGTCAGCGGTGCGCTTACTTCGTATCTCTTCTGGTGCACCTCGATCGCTTCTGCAGGCATTCGCACCAACGGCATCTCCTGGTCTGGCTCAGGGTATGCCCATCCAGCCATCTTCGGAACAGATCGCGTTAGCGGGGCGACAGGTACTGGCTGGGAAGGGTTCTCCAAAGGCTTCAAAGGTCAGAGCGGCGCCGGCCTTCTGCCGGGAGCACTGGGCTTGTCCGCACAGTATCTCGGCGCTGACAGCATCGCAAAGGGCAAGCTCGGCACCGATGCGTTGCCTCTTTCCAAGGACGTGCCCGGTATGCCTTGGTGGCTACTCACAATAGGTTCAGGAGTCGTGGCAGGTGTGGCGGAAGGACTCGAGCTTGGGGGAGTAGACGACAACCTCTCACTTCCGATCTTGTCGGCAACAGGCATCTGGGCATACCTCTATTCGTGGGGACGTCTAGCTTCGGCTTGGCAGAGGTGGTTCTCCTAAAATCGGCGAAGCCAGTGCGGACCCAGCAGAGAGGGAAGGCTGGATATCGGAATCCAACCCGCGCAAACATCTAGAGCACGAGGAGCTTTTGTAAAAGCAACCAAGAATGTAGCAACTTCTACGACTATTACATTCAACCCATTTCAGGTAGTATAGGCCAGAGATCAATCCGGACAGATACGCCCCCATTCCATCCCCGAGTCCTTTTCTAACTAATCGGAATCCGAGTCGAGCTTGGCCTTGACCTTACGAAGCAGCTTCGACACTGCCGACCCTGTCTTGACGTTTCCAGGACCGGCTTCATGGGTAGATTGCGGCAGCTGGTTGTCAAAGTGTTGCATATCATCTTCTTGCTCTGCTCCTAGACGGAGTCTTTTGCCGCAGTTAGGTCGTGAGGAGAGGTACGGTGTGCCGTCATCGCTGAAGCAGATGCGTTGGACACATGTTCTACGATTGCCTTCCTCTCTCTCGAGCGCGTGGAAGACGATAAAGTGTTTATTTTCTACTCCGCGCAGAACGCAGGCTCCACCGGGACCCATGACGCTGCGTAGTCGATCGGTCTCTAGAAGAGGCTTTGGAGGACATTTGTATGGACCGAAGAGCCCGTTGTGCGAGATCGAGTAGGAGGTGGCGTAGGTGCCGTTGGTGAACGTGCCGGAGGAAAAGAACAGGATGTAGGCATTGCTGGGGGCGTGGTGGAAGAGGTAGGGCGCTTCTAACAGACCACATTGATATCTGTGTGTGGGACCTTGAAGGGGGTGCATGTCGCCTACAAGAGAGAGGCCGTCGGGGGAAAGTTCGGATAGCCATAGTTGTGGGTGATCGGTATACATGCGGTCCCAATCGGACTGTTGGGTCGTAAAGCAGATTAGAAATTGCCTTGCGAGTCAGAGAGATGCATCTGCCGCGACGAGAGGAAGAAGGAATGGTCACTGACCTTGTACACGAGATAGCGCTTGCCGCTGACCGGATCCTCGAAGGGTTGCGGGTCCAGTGTTCCGCCAGTCTCTCCCTAAAGAAATGGAAGACAAAATTAAGAGGAAAGTGGTGGGATTGTGTTTCGCTCGACGAGCTGATGCGGGGGAACAATCGTTCTCGTGCTTACCCTGGAGATCAGTGGACGGTCTGTGATCCAGCGATAAGGACCTTTTGGGTCATGATCTGAATAGGCGACGCCAATGCATTGCTTCTTGTAGATGGAGTCTTGACAAGAAACATACATCAGGTAGCCGCCCCGATTCTGAGGTGCTTCAATCAGCTCCGGAGCCCAGAGGAAGCCCTACTTGGCGCGACAAGGTTCAGTTGCAGAAGGTGTCAGAGCTCGAGTTCCGCTTGGAGGTCAGACAGCATACGTACTGGTGCACCGGACTGGTACGGAGGGAAGGGTCCAGGAAGGCAGTCTTGTTCATGTTGAGTCCATGAGCAAAAGTCTTTGGTGTAGGAGCATTGAATGTTCTTTCCATTGCCGTTGGTACCAAAGGCATACCATGTCTGGGTCTGACGATCGAAAAAGACTCCCGGGTCGGCAAAGTCATGGCCAATCACTATCAAGCGGATGAACAGACGATTGACAATGCATCGTCAGCAAGCGTGTGCGAAGTCTCTGGTTAGTATGAGTGTCTCACCTGGATTGCTATAGCCTAGGCGAGGGTGTGCCGGCATCTTTAACCGAACGCTGTAGAAAACTGTATGCGACGATTAAGCGTATGGGGGAGACAATGAGTCGATCGGAGAGCGGACGGCTGGAAGCTACGAAAACAGCGATCATCTTGGTCTGTGCAAAAGACAGACTAGTTCAGCAACGCTGCCGCCGGATCGTTCTCATTGCTTTCGCCCAGACTGAACATCGGTCGAGGCTGAGTATTGCATTGATGCATGGCAGGGAATGCATGGATCTGGCTTCTATCAATAATCACCTCAATAGATCTTCTTCGGGTCAGTAAAGCAACAAAACTCCGCGGGCGGTGGCATGTGGAGGTTGATTTCCATAAAGTGGTACAATTTAGAGCTATAACACATCCTAGCTATATTAAGGATATATTGTTGAAGTTTGAAGACGTTTGGGTCCCGATACTGGCGATCGGGGAGAGTCTAAGTACGATGTCACTGCTGCTAAAAGACAGAAACATATATACTCAATTGACTAAGTGAACATGGCGAGAACCTAGCGCTCCCAGCTTGATATATATACATATGGATGACATATGCCGAATGTGGGAGTTGCTATACTTAATGATCCAGCCTGACAACGAGCAGGACTTGGTTGTACCCGATCTCTGGCAAGATCGGTTCTGCTCGATCTCTGATCAGATCGGTCCTCTGACCAGATCGGCTCTGCCTGATCTCCGATCAGATCGGCTCCGCGTCATCCTTTAGCGTCACACTGGATCGTAATCTTTAGCATATATAAGCAGACTTGTGACACAAAAATGTGAAAGCCGCGAATACACGGCCGATAATTCATCTCAAGCCGCTTCTGATGGCAGCGTGAGCCTCTCTGTTCTGTTTGGCTTTCACGCTGCAACTCTTTCGCACTTTTTGCATGGGCGCTCTCTTTTCTCTCCCACTCTTGCGGCTGTTATGCCCGAAGACCGGATTAGGCGATGCTGCATGGTTGCGCACGCTCTCACGCACCACTCGACCAAAAAAAGGCAAGGCTTTCAACACACTCGGTTTTCCTTGTACGACCGCTTACCCCGCATGCTGTTTTCGACAGTCGCTTCCGAGCTTGCCCGCCTTTTTCATCCTAAAACTGGTTGCTGATCCGGTCAGCTGTAAGCCGCTTTCAACTGGGCCCTCGCCCTGACTTGACCCTTGTAGTTTATCACGACCCTCCTCCTCCTTCTTTCCTTTTCCCCATCATCTCTTCTGAATTTAGTAGAGCTCGACCTTATACCCCAGCCTTGTCTTGGCACGGCAATCTACACATACTTTTCTGCAAACGCTTCGCTTCCATCGAGAATCAGCAGTCGGTCCTCTCGTACCCAAAGGGACAAGTTCGCCATCATGTCGACCTGGACCGACAACCTGACCATGGATACCATGGCAAGGGAGAGGGCCAACCCTCCCTTTGATGTTCGAAAGGTAAGTCACGACGTCGCCAGAAGGAGCTTGTAGTTTGACAAATTACAGCAGCGTATACTGACATTCATTCCTGCCCTTTGCCTCCCACTTTCTTCCGCCAGATGTCGATCGAGCACCACGGTTCTGAAAACAATCTCGTCAAGAAGGAAAAATTCATGCTCGAAGCGAGTCGTGACCCCGTCTTCTACTCGGCAGACATCTACGATCTCACAACGGAGCAGATTCGTGAGCGAACCATGCAGCGTATCCAGCGTCTCGCTCACTACGTCACCAGCGAGTCGGTCGACGACTTCCAGAAGCGCATGGAGCTCATGTCTCTCCTCGAC